CAACTAAAACATATTACATGTATGTCACTATATAATCTTAGGGTGGGTATGACTGGTTTTTGCCAACTAGTCGCTGCGTACACGTACAAAACGTAAACAAGTATGGCGGCCTAAACATCCATAAACTTTCAAAGGTAACATAAATATCTACAAGGCAAAATAAAATAATGGGTACACAAGTCAAGCTGGTATAGTGGGATATCGGCCAAAAACTGAATGGAATTGAATGTACCTTGAATCGTCGTGTATATACCGGTAGTAGCTAAACAACTCCTAAACAGATAACCCCTAACTTTTTTATAGCTACTCTCTAGTATAACACCAAATCTAATTGCATATGCCCCGTTTGAGGAAACAAATAGTTATCTAGAGAGGTTTATTAGTGGCTGGTGAGTTAGGATTATTAACCATATAAAAAGAAATAAATAACTTGCATATTTTTTTATTATCTTTGCTCCCACACTATCTAATGGTCAACCCTTCATTTTTTTTACAGACTTACTTGTATTGATATTACTTGAAATACTATAAAATACTTTAGCTGGAATTAATTTTTCGCTGAAAAGACCATTTGGGTGTTTTGTATGGAATTTATTTTCAATGATTTTTGATGAGTTAAATGGAGAATATAGGAAAAAATTTGTTTTTGCTGGATTTTATTAGTTTTCGTTCGGACGCAGTCCGAAAACAAAGACTTATGTTTTAACCCTTGTGCGTCTGTGCATCAGTGCGTGTGACGAATCATAATCAAACTTCACACATACATCATACATGATATTATATATATGCACATCAATTTGTTTCACGATCTGATTCGAGATGGCCGAATGGCGGCCATTTTTGTGCTAAAAAATCATCGAAATCAAGCATTTCGCGGCTGTTTACAGATGGATTTTGTTCAAACTTGGTATATACATTAGACATTATGGGACCTTGATGCAAACAATTTTATTTTTTAGATCAGATTCAAAATGGTTGACTGGCGGCCATTTTGTTTTAATGGATGGGCTTCTAGACCCATATCTCTGACTTGCTTTGACTGATTATATTCAAATTTTGTATATTCGTATACATCATGTTATATATATACATGTATTCAAAATGGCTGATTTTGTTTTAATTAATGCTGTTCCAAAGCAATATCTCCCAATATGGACAAGTACTTGTTTGATGATCAGATACAAATGTCAATCATTTTAATGTTAAACAATCATCATAATCATATTCCTGACATGGTTATATTCCAGCTATATTACTATAAACAAAACTATATATCTTAAATTTGATAACTAGCGGGGACTGTGCCATGCATGGCTTGTTTTCACTGATTCATCCCTTCATCGAAAATAGCGACAATAAAGTATTTACAGTAAGCTTTTTTCCTATCCTCGGGGGCGGACATCCGGGCATTTTCACCGCTTGGCAACCCTGGTGGTGAAAACAAAGGCCAAAAACTCGCAGAAAACGATACTTTGGGATGGTGGTTGAGACTCCCCTGAACAGTGTAACAAGATTAGCCCTACGTGTGTAACATATCCAAATTTGATTGTTCAGGATTACTTCAAAGTTGAGTTTGTGTTGTTTTCTCGAATTTTCACTGGCTCGACCGGCGTTCCACCGCAGCGCGAAAAGAGCCCATAGAAATGCTTGTACAGTGGTGCGCGTCGTAGCAACATGGAACGTCTTGTGACGTAGCTCCGCCCCCGAGGATAGTCATTGTCAACCTGTTAACTCATGCAGATTGTTTTTTTGATATTATTCTTCTCTAGGTGTGACAGAAAAACCTGAAGAGTCTTACAAATGCAGTAAATGTGAGAAGCAGTTTGCTGATTTGAGTCAACTTGGTCGTCATATGAAATACTCGCATCCTGACATGAGCTGTAGGAAATGGAAATGTCACATGTGTGACCGAGCGTTTACATCATCCGCTAAATTAAACGTACATGTGTTGGTTCATATGGGTGTCAAACCACATAAATGTGAACACTGTGATAAGACATTTACTGATCCGAGTAATCTTAGGATGCATGTCTCCATACACACTGGTAAGTCTTACACTGTGATTTATCCCATATACTATAAAATGACTAATTCTCACTGGGTTTAAATTTCGCTGATTTACCATTTCGGGCATAATCATATACACGGTTTTATCATTTAGATAATGTGTTCTATGCTAAATTTCACATATTCACTTGGTTTTAATTTACGCATTTTCCAGTCAGCGAAATAAGCAAAATTAAAACCCAGTTAATAATTAACCCCTTTACAGTACAACCAGTGTTCTCACTAGGATACAAATGGCCTGGCAGTACCGTCACAGTGCTTTGTTTTCTGCCACACTGCTGGACACCGCCGCAGTCATTATCTTGAATGTCACAGTGCTATTTCCACTGTGCATTGATGACTTATTAAATCCAATTGATAAGTTGCTGAAAACTTGAACAGTTTTGTAGTCAATAGTTTTGTGCATTGTGTAAGATTAATCATCACTATTATGCAAATAATATTCAAATTTATGCAAATTAATATGTAAATTTATATGGCTGTAGTTTGTTTTGTTTTTCTGGTGGGAACACTGTATATCTTGACATTTCAGTGTGACTCAGTGATAATAAATGTCCTACAGGCTGTACTTTCCATATTAAGATTCTCACTAGCAACCTACCATTGGTCCATGTTGTTCAAAACTAACCATTAGTGTGGAAAACTATATTTATTTATTGTTCTTTATTTTCTATGTGCAGGACTTAAGAAATTTCAATGTGATATTTGTGGTAATTCATTCCGTCAGAAAGCACATTTACTTTCCCACAAGATCACACATACTGGAGAAAAGAAACTGAAGTGTCAATATTGTGATAAGATGTTTAGTCGACATTCTGACGTCAAACAGCATACATACATGCATACCAAGGAAAAGGAGGTAAAATACAGATAATTTGCTCATTTTTAGTTCATGTGTCAAAAAAAAACTATCAACAAACAAGCTGCTCTCTGATTGGTTCGTTAGGTGTTAGGATTGGATGCTGCTTTCTGATTGGTCTGATTGTTAGGTGTTAGGGTTGGGTATCCAATCAGACACAATGCAAGCTGTTCTCTGATTGGTCTGACTGTTAGGTGTTAGAGTTGGGGAGCCAATCAGGCACAATGCAAGCTGCTCTCTGATTGGTCTGACTTTAGGTGTTAGGGTTGGGTAGCCAATCAGACACAATGCAAGCTACTCTCTGATTGGTCTGACTGTTAGGTATTAGGGTTGGGTAGCCAATCAGACGCAATGCAAGCTATTCTCTGATTGGTCTGACTGTTAGGTGTTAGGGTTGGGGAGCCAATCAAACACAATGCAAGCTGCTCTCTGAAGGGTCTGACTTTTAGGTGTTAGGGTTGGGTAGCCAATCAGACACAATGCAAGCTATTCTCTGATTGGTCTGACTGTTAGGTATTAGGGTTGGGTAGCCAATCAGACACAATGCAAGCTGTTCTCTGATTGGTCTGACTGTTAGGTATTAGGGTTGGGTAGCCAATCAGACACAATGCAAGCTGTTCTCTGATTGGTCTGACTGTTAGGTGTTAGGGTTGGGGAGCCAATCAAACACAATGCAAGCTGCTCTCTGATTGGTCTGACTTTTAGGTGTTAGGGTTGGGTAGCCAATCAGACACAATGAAAGCTGCTCTCTGGTTGGTCTGACTGATTGATGCCATCTGAGATCATCTGTGCAACAGCGTTATAATATTTAACCACATTATATTCGCAAAAAATCTTTACAATGGTAAGGCAGGTCATTTTCTATAAAACGTCTCCTTGAAAACATGTGATAAGTGAATAATACATGATAATATTGTTTACTAATTACAGGTGCCATGCCAAGAATGTGGTAAGACATTCTGGAGACTTCAGCACTTGAAAAAACACATGAAAGTACACTCTGGCGAAAGAAACTATAAATGTGAGAAATGTCAAAAGGGATTTGTCACTAAGTACCACCTAAAAAGACACAGTGAAGCATGTAAAGGACCAAAAGAGAATAAATCCACAACAACAAAAACAACAAAAAACAGTTCCACAGTACGCATGGCAGCTGATAGTAGTAATGAACCGAGTAAGACTATTGATAGACCCAGACGAACTCGGCGACTTAGACGGCGTAATAATTATGATGATGATGAGGAGGAACAACCAGAAGATTTTCAACGTCGTGCACATGTACCTCAACAAGCAGCGCATCAAACGCATCAACCTGAAATATTACAAATACCGCAACATTCTTCCAGTTTGCTTAGCCATCAGGCCAGCAATGTCTCTCTCGGCCCATCAACATATCAAACTTCCGGAATGCATCAACCGAATATGTTGCTACAAAGTCATCATCTTCAGCATCCCATTATTACAGTGCCTGTCACCTCAAGTATACCTATCATTCAGAATTTGCCACTTACACACACCATTCCCAACACTGCTCACAATATCACCATCTTGCCTAACATGCCCCTGAATTTACCCTCAATGACAGCTGCACAGCATAACTTACCCACAATTACATCGCACAGCATACTCCCCATTCCCAGCACATCCCATAGTTTACCCACAATGCAAACTACATCCCATAATATGCAAACAATGTCTGATGAAGTGATAACCAATGAAGTTTGTGAAGCATCCTCTAATCAAGAACAAGATGCAGTCACATCTAGCATAGAAGAATAAATTGACAATCAGTTTAATTTTAATCTGATGTGCTTACATGCCTGGCATTTGTTGTGTATATAATTTATTAGTATATTTATTATATAAGTATTTTGTTTTAGCTAAGAAAGAATACATTTGCATTGACTTATTTTTAATTTAAGTTCTATATTTTTAATGGTAATTTTAAAATGTAAATAGTTATTTTTTATGCTAGGTCTATTTAAACGATTCTGATGTTACCTGTGTGGAAGTTATTCAATGATTTTCCTAATCTGCTACACTCTGACAAAAAGAAATCAACGATTGATTTCTGTAATATTGTTTGTAAGTCATTTTGAAACAATGTTTGCAGAAATGTACACCAATTCTGAATGGTTTTGGTTAATTAGTCCTGATAAATAAGTTCTAAATATTTAGTTCAGATTAATTAAGTAAAAAAAAATAAGATCTGTTTCTGGTCAGCATGCACGTCAGTTCAAAAGGATGCATTTAGTGTTTTGTTTGTTGTTTTGAAAAAAATGGAGGAAATGTGCCTGCTGTGTTTGTTCATATTTGCATGAATTGATTTTCTGTTTCAGAACACAGTCCCTCTATCCCCGGTCTGGAAACGACTAGCGTTCTTTTGTCTCGAACCGCAGTGTGGGTAAACAAACCGTTCACACGAGGGCCGAGGGAGTCAGGAAGTCAGACAGATTACAATACCTTCAAAAGTTACCGTCATGCAATGCGATACCTCATTGTATGACTTCACTTTGACTTCAAATTCGGGCAACCACAACGTAAACAAACATGTAAACAAAATTATCACTATGAAATTTGGGTTTTTTGAACCCT